CAATCATTATAATAAAATAAATTCTAAATAACTATACATTCTGGTATTGGATTTTGGTTTTTGTTTTTTATCATAGAAAGAAAGAGCTCCCTTGCCCCCTTTGCTCAACAGGATGCAGGTCCAGCTGTGGCTGAGTTCCCCCCTCCCCCGTGCTTCATGGTGCTGAGCTGCCCTGATAAACTGGTGCCCTACCCCTGCCTGTGCTGTTGCCCCTCACTTGCAACCCACAGCCCCCAGCCCTGCCAGTGCCCTTCACTCCCCACCCATAGTCACCCCCTCCAACCCTGCTGGTGCCCTTCAATCACAACGCACAGACCCCTGTCCCTCCCAGCCCTGCTGGAAGCGGCCCCCAGCTGCAAGGGCTATGGGATCAGGGACCAGGGCCAGGGCCTACAGCCCCTGACCCCCACCCCTACTCCTCATCTAGCAGCACCTGAGTCCTGGCTGCTGCCTGTGGGAAGCAGCAGCTGCTGTGGCCAAAGTAGACTACAGAATCTGGCTTCCCCTCCCCTATGGGCAGCATGGTCAGAGTGGAGCCTGTAGGATGTTGGCTGCCCACTGTGGGCTTGGGGCTTCTCACCCTACTGCCCTCCCCCTGGGGGCCTCCATGGCCCAGCGGGTGGGGAAGCTTGGTACCGCTGCCACCAGGAACCCCATACTGGCTGAACCGCCATGGTGAGGCACCCCCTGCCCTCCCAGCAGCAGCGGTGGTGGTGGGGAGTTGTGCCCCCCACTGCTGCCAGGCAGGCAGGGGGTGCCTCGCCATGGCAGCCTGGCTGGCACGAGGCTCCTGGCAGCGACACCAAGCCTCCCCTCCCTGCTCTGACCTCCCGTGCCAGGTTCCACCCACTGGGCCGTGGACGCCCCTAGGGGGAGAACAGCAGGGCAGGAAGCCCCAAACCCCCAGCAGGCAGCCTGCATCTGGCCCCGCCCTTGCCTAACACACAAATCTCGGGCATGTGTCCCCCCATGGCCCCTCAGAAGTGCTTCAGTAGCAGGAAGCTGGCCACCCCACCACCCCATAGATAAGTCACCCATGGCACCATCCCACTCCCTGGCTGGGCCCCGTGGCTATGCATTCCTGCCCCAGCCCTGGGTCCCAGGCCCCACTGCACTGCCCCAACTGGGCAGCATCCCCAGCTAGCTCCAGCCCTGCCTCACTTCCTCCCTCACCTTGGGGGCCTCAATATGCCCTCCCCACTCCCCCATAGAACCTGGAGGGAGCTGCAGGGGCTGCTCTCCCTGCTACCTGGCTGCCACATGCATGTGTGTGCATGCACATGCCCATGGTGTCCCATGCCTGATAGCCCCAAGCAAACCCCTGAAGGCTGGAACTCGGACAGCCTGCAAGGGAAAACCCATTATTTCCCATGTTTTTCTCCTTTAAAAGAAGAAAATCCACCTTTTTCTCCTTAAAAGGAGAAAATCCTCCTAAAAATCCTCATTTTCCCACATTTTTCTGTGGAGAATGAAAAACCCTGGTTATGAGTCTCAAGACACTGTTAAGTACAATATCAGTTCCCTGAACATTCACAGTACACATTACTTTAAAGTTTTACTTGTGCTGTACTGGGTCTCAGACGAGATGATCAAATAGTCCCTTCAAGCTTTAAAATCAAAGACTCTGTGAATGAACATAAATGTATTTGATCAATCAATTAATGTAATCTGATTTCCTATTTATATGAAAAGGCATGTTGGAAACCAACAATGAAAGTCATACTTGAATAAGTATGCATTTCCCATGGAAGCAACAGGAAAGCTACCACCAAATGACTCCTTCACATTAAAAGGCAAAATTTGTCTTGAGTGCAAATATTATACAAGCTTTTGCGGATCTAGACCTTTGCAAAAAGCATGTGAAACTACATTTTAGCTTTCTACAGCTCTAAAACACATAGTTAATTTTTGTTGGTGTTGTTAAGAAGCCAGAAATCAATTTGGCCTGAAAAGGGCAGGTGGAAAATATTAAGCAAAAAAAAATGTGTTCTAAGTGTTACTCTAATGAATCTGAAATGGTCAGAGCATTACATGTCTAAAAGGAGAAGTATTACCTAAAAATCATCATAGCAGTGATGGGTAGAATGCCTGTCTTAAATTCAGAGAGAGATAGGTATCAGACTTCCTGCTTTTTGCATGGCATTAGAGTCTGCTACTCATGAGCACCACCTGGTCCATCACAGGAAGAAAGCCAGGGAAACCAGCACACCTGCTAACAAGAAAATCAGCTGATCATTTAAAGCAGGAAAATATTGGGAAAGGATAGCATTCAGTGACAGTGGGCTAAGAGGGGAGGACATTTTTTAGTTTCCCTACAGCAGCAATGATTTCAGACTGAATGCTTACACCTTGATCACACTTTCAGAATAAACTGTGTGCTAATGCCATTTTGGAACAAAGAGCTTTGAAGGACAATGGCATGACATCACATGATATAGGATGTAGCAGTACCTTACATAATATCACTGATGAAATGCATCTTACTTCTAATGTGACCCGCATCTGGCTCATTAATTTGCTTATAAAAGAAATCGGCAATGTTTAATCATAATTATTTGCCAAATGAAATGTGAAGAAGAGAGTTGTGTGCTGTCAGCAGTTTTAAGGGCACCTGGAGAGCTCAATATTAATAATAATAATTTTATAAAGAGATTGCATATGGTGAGCTAAGGTGAGAGGTCATATTTATTGCTGAAGTGAACAATCACCTGACAACCTTTGAATTCTTTTCCCATCAGTGGGCTAAACATGATACTTCTTTGGAAAACATTATAAATCTATTTCTAGATCCAGTCCTTTTTTAACTGTCACTCTGCTGCACAAGCTGATAGACCCAAAAGCCATCTCCCAAAGCCTTTTCCCTAGCTGCTAGATATATAAAGGACGAGTACCCTGGAGCTTAATACTTTATTATGCTTTTAAAAATGGTACTTATAATGCTTAGATTAGAATGTGTGCCTGCTTTTTTATATCAATTCAGAAGACAATGATTCCGAGCTCAAAATATGGTTCCATTTGATGAGTTGGTTTTAATTTAGTTGGGAGGACTTTTACAATGATTTGTAGCTGACACCTACAGAAACAAGAGTTCTCTGAAAGAAGGAAAGAAAACTGTAGGAATCCAAAATATCAAATATGTCTGTGTTCCAGACAAACTGCCTTCCCTGCACTACAAACCCGGCTGCTTTGTTCAGAAGCAGAATATCAAAGGGATTATCTAAAGAGCAATAAGACAGCTGGGTTGCTTTATTTCTGAATGTCAGGTCCTCCTTAAAAAAAAGTCATCAGTCAGCAGACAAAGGAGGGAAACATGGTGCCAAGAACCAAGCACTCAGCAAGGGCCAGTTACAATATACTGATGGCTGCTTCTCAAATTCATGGTTTTTGTTTCTGTGGTCAGCATTTTAAGCA